ACTACAATTCTATTCAGTACTTTTCAACAAATGACAAAGCCATCCGTCCATGAGGGGCCTCTTGCCATTGCTAGGCCTCAAGAGCTTTTTTCAGATGTTTACTGTGGCAATTCGAGCGATCAAATGTCGTAGAATTGATGCTGAAACTATTACATATGTTTTGATACGCTTTGATTGTCTTGAAACGAATTTTTCAAGAAGAGCCCAAAATCCGGCCAAATTCCATAAACTTGTGATTCTTCGACCATCGATTCGACATGATCTATGATGTCCCCAAGACTTCATTTGATCGTAAATTGAAGAGAATACTATCATGATCATTTTGTGACAAATTTTGTCCATTTTAGCATTTGTTTGAGCAAGCTCCAATTTTGGGAAGTCGCTGGAAAATAGGATTCCGACGACTGGAAAAGTATGTCATCTTCGACCTCAAAATTCAATGTCATCCGACCTGCAATCATTCACAAAAATTATATCAAATTGTAGCTCTTCTAAGCACAATCGCAACAGACCCATACTTGTGACAATTCGACATCGGGATCTTAAGCTATGGCCGCTTAAAGAATGAGATGTTCCTCTTTTTAAACTTTGAATTTTCATGTTTTGAGCACATATTCTCTCTAAAAATTATCTCCTCTCGGGCTACGCCATGACACATGTCATATGTCAAAACACCCGTATCATCGAGATCTATCTCATATCCGAATTTGAGCTTAATTGGAACCAAAATGAGCAAGTTATGAGCATTTGAAGTTCATCTTGAAATGAGAACAAATAGTTTCAATAAATGGAAACTGGTTCACGGAGGCTACACCGCAATAGTATAAACCCACTTTTTTTTTTGTAAGTTAGGCTCAGAATAGTCCCGGATGATTTGTTGAGCCGATATTTGGTACTTAAGAGTTTTTCAATGTTCTGGATCTAATGGCAGTAGTTTGATACTATTTTGAGACCAATAAAATAAAGCTATAATTACAGGGTCCATTTTCTGCATGATAGGAACTAGATTTGAAAATTGAGTTCCATCCTTTTCAATTAAAAAATTGTCAGAATGCAACGAAACTTTGTGGGTGTCCTTAGGGTATCCAAAAATACCCTCTCATACAATTTGAGGCCATTTTGACACTTCTTCATAGGTCGCTCAGAATTAGGCTCGTTGTTATAGTGTTCATATGGTCTGGCAGAGTATTGGGCACTGATGGGACCAAGTTACTACCGGCTCTTTCCTTATTCACCCCGAGGTTATAAGTACATCAAAAATGACGTATAATAATGACAAGATAGAAAGGTGTATATTACACCATTGTATTATTATTGTATATACAATGAAAGAACTGCCACAAGATGTGTGTGGGGCATAATTATTTTCTCAAAGAGTTTCTTTTTCTCTCTAAAATTCTTCATAGTAACAAAGCATCATCGATCCGAGACTCAGCTTCTCACATTAAATTGGTTTCTATATCCGAAGTAAGCCCCTTTCTCTGAGTGTTTCGTCATCCTTCTACGTTTTTATTGTTTTCTTTATTCTTCATACGTTTTGTTTTATTTTATTTTTAAGCCATCATCTTAGAACTCATTTTCTCACGTTTTGTTAAAGCTATCATCTTCACTTAAGCCTCTTCCATCCCATCCCTCCACCCTTAATATAGGAAACTGTGTCTGTTAAGTTGACACATAACATCTATCTATTATTGAAAACTCAAAAGCTCTATTTCATTGAGAGTCATGAACTTTTTAAAATTCATCAATGGTGATTGCCCTCTACCAAGTCAAAATATTTTCTCTCATGATAGTAAGAGTGAAATCGAATACCCTGACTACAAATTATGGCTAAAGTCTTCTTAAAGCCTGGATCACATGGACATTATCAAAAGAGTGTCGTGGCCTTATTGTTGGCCTCAAGACTTTTGCAGAAGTTTAGAAATGTTTGAAGAATGCCTATGCAGGTAATTATCAAGCTAGGGAGTTCCAACTTACCCAGCAACTCCAACTCTGCAAGAAAGGGAATTCAACCCTATCATAATACATATACAAATTCAAGTGTATTTATGATGATTTGGCGGCTATTGAGAAACATGTACCAGACGAAAATAAGGTATTTTAGCTTCTTGATGGACTTGGTCCTAAATATGAGAGTTTTGCTACTACCATACTTAAGCCTCTAATTCCTTCATATTATGATATTATACTTATTCTTCAAAGCCATGAGATTAGAAACCATTCTCATTTAGTTTAAGAACACTCGAATATAAATCCGAATATGGCTTTTATTGGATAACAAATTTTTTTTGGACCCAACAGAGGTAACCGAAATTACAGAGGTAGAAGGAGAAACAACTTTGGTGGTCAACAGTTCTTCAACTCTCAGGGATGAGGGTTTGTTCAAACTAACCAAATCAATAATGTGGTCATGGGGTCCCTCAGAAAAATCAAGAAAGTAGCGATACACTTTCTGTGTTACACAAAGATCCAGGCTTCCAACAAGATTCCTAAATACAACTGTCAGCTCAGACACCTCGAGAAAAGTGTCATACTGCACTAAAGCGTTGGCATGATTCAACGATACATACTAAGCAGAAGATATTCCTCAGGCCCTATAAAGGCACAGATACAATTATGGTTGGGAATGGTGAACAATTAAATATTTCACATGTTGATACAAATATTGCTATTGGGTCTGAAAAATTCAATATTTCTATGTCCTTTTGGAGCCTAAAATGAAAAAGAACATTTATTTGTTAGTCAATTTACAATAGATAGCCCTTCTATTTTTAGTTCTCATCAAATGGTTTCTTAATTAAGGAAATGAGCACAGAGAGAACTCTGGCCAACGGGAGTAGAAACGGAGGATTATATGCACTTGAAGAAGTGAATCAAGCTTTATTCTCCAATACGAATAAAAGAACATCATAAGATATGAGAAATCAACGTCCTGGAAATCCTCAAAATAAAATTGTTTGTTACTTAGGATCTAAACAGTTAATTAATGTTGATGAAATAAATCTCATTCTGTTTGTGCTAGTTGTCAGATGGAAAAAAGTTGTAAGCTTCTTTTTAATAGTGTTGGTAAAACATCTACTGAACATCTCTTTAAGATTCATTCAGACTTATGGAACCCTGCTCCAATATTATCTAATCAGAGTTATCAATTTTATATGGTGTTTGTTGATGATTATACTCGTTTTACTTGGATTTATCATTTGAAATGAAAATCTGAATGTTTTACTGTATTTATGAAATTTCTTCGTACGGCTGAAAGGAGGCTTGATAAAAGAATTTGAGTTTTTCAATAGGATAGAGGTGGTGAATTTGCTAAGAAAGAATTTATTGCTCATCTTAATGATAATAGAATCATGCTACAATTATCATGTCCGGGAACCCCAAAGCAAAATGGAATAAGCTAAAAGGAAACATGGAAATATCGTAGAATTGAGGCTTACAATGATGTTTCATGTAGGAATTCCTAAACCTTTTTGGGTTGAAGCATTTCATACTGCAGTATTTGTTACCAACAAAATGCCCTCTACCAGTTTAAAAATTGATTCACCATGCTCATTATTGTTTGAACGCTTACTAGACTACTCCTCACTCCGAGTATTTGGTTTTCGGTATTTTCCATATCTTCAAGACTATGCTACAAAAAAATTTAGTCCCCCGTCTTCCAAGTATAACCTTGGGCTATAGTGTCTAATATAAGTGTTACATATGTCTACATCTACCTACAGGATGAGTCTATATCTTTAGACATGTTGTATTTGATGAAAATATATTTCCTTATGCTAACCCCAATTCTTTGTTTGATAGTGCTTAGATTCAAAGGGAGCTACCCACCTATGTAAAATGGTCTGAGTGTTATGAGCCTGACATACAGACTCATTCCTCTTCAGGTTCATCAGTTCCCCATGAACTACCCCATACGGGATGCCCTTGATAGATATAGTCCCCCAGGTCCTTCTTTGCTTATCACCAATGATAACTCTCCAACTTTTTTTGTAGAGGGAGATGTCATCACTGAATACCAATCCAAGATGTCTAGGATGATGCAATACGCAATCATAATGCTGAAAATGTTGCCACTCGAAAAACCAACCAATCTAATATTTTACCGGCCTCTGAGTATCATCGTCATCACATGGCCACAGGATCCTAAGATGGTATTCGAAGTCCTCGGATTCTCCCATCCATGGCTACAATCTCAAGTGCTCCTACTTTCGAAGTTATCCCTTATGAACCTAAAATCATTAAATCTGTCTTGGATCATTCAAGTTGGTATCATGCGATGGGAGAGAAAATTGAAGCCCTAGATGTGAATTTAACTTGGGAGCTAATTCCACATCTTCTAGGTATGAGTGTTATTGGTTTTCGTTTGGTTTATAAGATTAAATTAAAGCCTGATGGTAGTCTAGAGAGACTTAAAACTATACTAGTTGTTAAATGATACAATCACATACCTGGAATTGATTTCTCTAAATCATCCAGTCCTATTATTAAGCATGATAATATTGAGATTGTGTTCACCATAACTATTGTGCATCACTCTCCTATCAAACAGCTTGATGCGAAAAATGTTTGCCTGCATGGTTTTTTTAAGGAACCTGCATTTATGGGATAACCTCCTAGATTTGTGAGCTCAAAATTTTCAAATCATATATACAAATTAGAAAGAGTTTTATACGGTCTCAAACAATCACCTCGGGCCTGATTTGATCGATTTAATGCGTATTTATTATCATTGGGGTTTTATTGCAGCATACCTGATTCACCTCTATTTTCTTCTACTCAAGGCACTATTATTCTTCTTCTTTATGTTGATGATATTATTGTTACTGGTGATAATTCATATCTTCTATAATGGTTCATTTTCCAACTTTGAAGGGAATTTACAATGAAAGATCTTGGATCTCTTCACTACTTTTTGGGCATAAAAGCATCTTAATTTTCAGGTGGGATTTTTCTCTCACAAAGTAAATATGCTTTGGATCTTCTTGATCGTGCTCCGATGCTCGGTGTTAAACCTATTTCAACACTAAAGGTAATGAAAAATAATATTCATGGGAATTCTGATCCATTTCCTAATCCATCTCTTTATCGGAGCATTGTTGGTGCACTCCATTACATTACTATAACAGGGTCAAACCTTTCGTATAGAGATACAGTGTGTCAATTTATGCATGCACCTACAATTACCCATTTTCAGGCAGTTAAGCCAAATCTTCGTTATCTCAATGGTATATAATAATGTGGTATAAGAATCTTGTCAACTAGTTCCCTTGAGTTGTATACCTTCTCTGATGCAAACTAGGTTGGGTGTCCAACCACTCATCGTTCAACCACTGTTTTCTGCACCTATCTTGGTTCCAACTGTATATCTTGGAGTGCTAAGAAACAATCGACTGTGGCTCGTTCCAGTGCTGAAACTGAATACCGATAAATGGCATCCACTACTGCAGAATAAACATGCCTTTCTTTTAGTGCTCTTTACATGATAGTTAATCATGTTTTCCATGCACGGGAAATGTACATTGAGTTACTCTTGGATTTCTTATCACACGTTTGATTTCCTCTCGTAGCTGATATCTTCACCAAGCCTTTGTCACGAGATATTTTTCGAGATCTTTGCTTCAAACTCAGGGTTCAAATGCCTCCCCAGCCGAGTTTGAGGCGGAGTAATAGAAATACAATTTAGAAATATTCAAAAATTTCAACAAGATATGAAAGATAGGAAAGTAATAAGATAGGAAATTATATATTGCATATGACAAGATAAGAAATTGTATATTGCATATGACAAGATAGGAAGGTATATATTACACCATTGTATTATCATTATATATATAATGAAAGAACTACCACAAGATGTGTGTGGGGCATAATTATTTTCTCAAAGAGTCCCTCTCTCTCTCAAATTCTTCACACACATCCCAAGGCAAAAGAGTATAAAGTTAGATGACAAAGGTAAGAAGTGTAGTTTAATTGGGATTCTCAACCCTGAACAATGGTAATTTAAGTATATTTGAAATTCTTTTTGAGGAGGTACAAGATTGAAATGAAAGTTAAAAGCTAATCCATGCAATATCCTTTTGATTCCTTAATTGATATTTCTCCTAAATACTTCGAAGAAACCTAAATACTTTGAAGAAACTAGGTTTCTTATTATCCTCACAAAGTTAGAGCTTTTAGATTATTCAAGGAAATAGTAATTAATTATATACAAATCTATTCAACAATCCAAAACTTACACAATTTGTTACAAAAAATAGTACAAAGCTTAGCATGAAGTTGGTAAGAATACTTGCCCTAAATCCAATAGTGTCTTGCAATGCCCCATCACCAAATAAGTGCAATCTTATTTCTACCATGTAAAACTTCATTCAAAACCTGATCCACAGCCTCCTCAAACCACTCTAAACCTTGTATTCACCATACCTCCCATTCAATACCCCAATATCTCACACAAGTTCCCATCATCCTCAACCCAACCTCTTACCACCTTTTTCCCTATGTCCCATCACCAAATAGGTGCAGTATCTTGTTCCTACCATCTACAACTTCATTAAAAACCTGATCCACAACCCCTTCAAACCTCTCTAAACCTTCCTTCAAGTGATTAGACCTCCTCTTCAACACCTCAACAATCTCACACAGCTTCCCTTCATCCTCAACCCAACCTCCCACCAACTCTTCTCCTATTTCTTCTACCACACTCTCCACCCTCTCCACCTCTTCTAACAACCCTGCTTCCCTCCACATGTCTTCCCCCATTTGTGTGAACATGGTGGACCCTGCTGGATCTAAAGCTCCTATGGGGTGCCCACCTCCTCCAACATGAACCCCACTTGTGACCACAACTGAGACAAGTAGTGAAGCCACCATGGCCACCACTCCTTGTGCATCTCTCATGACATGTGAAAGCCTTAGAGGGGGAACTCCCCACTCTTCACACCTATGAACTGCCATTTTAGCCCAACTCTTTGACCCTTGAAGCTCATTCTTCTTCATTGTCAACCTTTGCATCTCCATTACAAGCACCTCAGGGTCTCGAGTGTGTCCTTTTATGCTTTCAATTGCAAATTCGGTCAACAACCGATACTTTTCGAGGGAGGAAACTGCCGCTTTCAGGGAGTTACATACATCTAGCAAGAAGATAGTGTGGTCCATGTATTGGTCCAACCATTTTTGCCTTAGGCTTGGGTTATCTATCAACAATAGGAGCAGCCCTGTGTGCATGGTGCTTAGGATTTTCATGGCCTGCACGCACCACTGTAGGTCAACAAAAGCTCGAGTCCCCAGCGAGTTTCTTAGGCTTAGCAGGGCCTCTGAGAGAGAGTCATAGAATGAGAAGACCAAACAAGACTTGGCCTTATCAGTCTTGTAATTGAGAAAGAAACACGAAGCAAGAACTCCTTTTCTTCCCATGGCGTCTAGGCTTGAGAAATCAGCACAATAGGATGAGCTTCTTTATTCTGTAACTCAGTCTTTGGTTTGCTTTGTGGATAAGAAACAAAGTTGTGGTGGGTGTGGAATATACGTGAAAGACAAGAGCTTCACATGGGGAGGAAATAATAAGAGGAAAAGTACGAAAAATATATATCCTTCAATGTTAGAAATCAGCTAAATTGCCCCACCTTATGTCCCGGCCATCGATCGAGCTAGATGGGTTGATCAAGGGCAAAGGGACAGTGATCCAAACAATTCGATTAATGGGGCACGCAAGGAATCGAGTGATTTGAATGAGAAGCAAGGGATTACATAAACTGAAAATAATGGGTCACATTTTTTTGACCAATTAAATTGAATAATCTATCTTCTTCCTCAAAACTCTCTCTCTCTCTCTTTCTCTCAACTATATTTTTTGGAGTGTTGTCACTCTCTTTCAAGTTTCAACTATACTTCTCCTTCAAACATTCTCTCTTCTCTCTCAACTATTCTTATTCTTCAAACTTTTTTTTTTTTTTTTCACATTCTTATTCTTCACACATATTCTCTCTCTGACTAGTGGTAGGAGTGAGGACGGAGGGGAAAGCGTGCAAGGAAGAGAGCGGTAGTAGGTGGTTTGAATTTAAAATTGAAAGGGTCCCAAACACACAACCTACATAGCGTCTTTCTTAAAATCACTCCATGTTCCTGTCAATTACATTTAAACAACTTGACACGCTCTTTCTAAACATAACAAGTTGGAAGACAATAAGAAAATGACTCAGAAAATTTCTTATTTATCATTTGTTTTGAATAAATTTAAACGTTTTATTTTGAATGAAGTCTGAGATTTCCCAATTAATAGTTTGCAGGAGAAAACCAGCCACATTTTTTTGTGGAAAAAAATACAAGATTGCGTATATACTTGTACTCGAAAACCTCTTTCCACATCCTATTTAGTATGGATATTGTGCAATGTTGCCATTTGGTTTCAAACAATGTTTGAAAACCCGGATCAGTGCGGTGAACCAGTCATCTGGGAAAATGGTTTGGATCAGCAAATATGCGATTTCAGTGCATGGCTGCTTTGGACGGATCCGGCCTTAAAAAAAATTCAAAAGCTTTTTAAATAAGTGTTAGAAAGGTTGTTTTTTGTGTTTCCCAAAAATGGGGATATTGCATTATCAATTTCTATTATTTTATCAAAAATACCTTAATACTGATAGTCTATTTCTTGTTTGAGTATCTATTGACCATTACACATTCATGTCATAGTCAAAGTAGAGTACATAATTATCATAAATATAGATACATAGTCCTAAATAAAACATAAAACAATCAAAATACCACCTAATACCAAAACGAACAACAAACTACTTCATGATTGTCTGAATCATGATTCCCACCATTATATCATTGACACAATAAGTCTTGGGCTTCAAACTCTTAAGATTCTGGTTGCTATGCCCACCCCAGATGTTCATGAACGAACAGGGCATGGCAAAAATCCCCAAGACTAGTCACCTTGTTGCTATAAAAAAAATACAATTATGAAGAAAATTTGATTTCTACATTTTTTTATTTTATTTTTTCTTTTGAGGTTTGGGGTGTGTGGTGTGAAATGGATTTTGGTCCCTTGCTATCCTTTAGGTTTCAACCGATCTGCAAGGATATTATGAACTATCATTTAGGTTTCAACCGATCTGCAAGCGACTCAAGTTTCGGTTTTCAAAAAATGAAATTTTACAATCAACCTAGATGCCCCTAAGACCATTCGATGTACCAATCCTGTGGACTTGCTAGCATTACTTTTGAAACCAATTTTTTGATCCAAATTGGAAATTGGTGAATCTAGATTGGGAATCATAATGGACCATTTTTTGTTGGTACTGCAAATTGGTTGGTCTGGTTCTACTTGCATCGATGGTTCCCTCGGGGAAAGGGGTGATAGGGATCAGGTGGAACGGTTGAGATTAATGTGCGAAGGCCCATTTTTCAGCCTGGGCCCCATTTTTCAGCCTTTATTCAGATGTTAAAGTACAGAGGCTATAAAGTCTCGTTTTTTTATCAATAAGTGATTGACCTGCCCAACACCGGATTGGACATGATTCAATCCATTATGAGTTCTTCGTCCCCAAATCCTCCAAACTGAAATTTGATTCTTTTGAAAGGCTATCCGTCCTTATACCACCTAATCTAATCAATTTGGATAAAAACAAACTGGTGTGGTTAAAAGATCTGACCCAAAATATTACAGGTTTTGTGGTGTTTACTTTTTTTTTTTTTTTTTTACTGATTTGAAGATTCAATCGTTTCGGTTTGATAATCTCATCAATTTGTTTTTTTAAGCTTGTTTTTGCACAGGATTTATGTAGTACGAAAAAAAAAAGAAAAAATAAAAAAGGAAGGGTCTAAAACGAGCTTAAAAGAAAACAAAAAAACCAAATGAGATCTGAAAATCCATAATGCCTTATACAATAAAACCAAATGAGATCTGAAAATCCATAATGCCTTATTCAATTGATACATGACTCCTCCTAGATGAAAATAGACGTTTAAACTTTAAACCGATTTTTAAAGACTGTGACATCGAATTTTAAGATGATTTTATAGCTCAAAGAAAATAGAAAAAAGGCTTCATTGAAACCTGAAATTCAAAGCATTTGATCCAAATTTAAACTCAAATAAATGGCCCAACGTTGATTTATAAGCATTGTTCACGCATTATTGATCGAATAATTCCAATTGTAAAACCAAAAAATTTGTAATAATTTGATAAGAATTGTTCTCTGCATCTTCGCACCTTCTTGTGAGGTAGCCTCTATTAAAGCCTACTACAAGAGGGGTGATTTCATAATCTTTGCCGCCCCTTGTGAGGTTAATATTTAAATTTTAAATATATGGTGTGGGACCATGGAGTTTATAGCATATAACAAAAGAACATATTAAAATGTGTGAACATGGTGATTTGCCTGGTTCTAAAGTCACAACAGGCCTGAACCGGGCGGCTCACCCTTTTCTTTAGGCAGAACCAGCCAAGTTAAAAGGGGAAGGGATCGTCCAGTTTTCGATATATTACAGGAATCAAATCGCCCACAACGATTCTCAATCCAGATCAACCGATTTCGATCCGAATAAGTGTTTATTAAAACCTTTGTTATTCCCAATAAAAAATCTCTAATATAGAAACTTTAGTTTTTTCTAATATTTTTTTCTGCTATTTTTTTCGATTCTCCTCTTTCATTGATCTATTTTCTCTCAAGAAAACATGATTTTGATCTTTTTTCAGTTACACGATAAGAAATAGAACTTTTTTTTGGATATGTGCTCTTATTAAATGAAACCAATAGTTGAAAAATTGGATTTATTTTATTTTATTTTGGGCTCTATATTTGAGGCCAATTCATATGTCTACTAGTTATGACTAATTTTTTGAAGTTTTTTTTTTTGCTTTGATCTTAACCTTTTCATGTTTCAATGGTTTTTTTTTTTGGGTGTTCGGTTCGACCCATTGGTCCTTTCCTATAAGGGAAAAGTTTATGTAGAGCCGAGGCTCTAAAATTTGAGCCTACCCAAAGAATTTCACTAGAATATATTGTTTTGATGCCCAAATATCCTCAAATTCACCATCTCGACATCAAGATGCATGGACATGAGAAAAAAATGGATTTCAAGTTTTAAAAATAGTGTATTTTGTACCGCACTTTTCGACAGTCAATTTTCAAGATTTTCAAGTTTTCATAGTTCTCTCGATCTACACTATTTTTGAAGCTTTAAACTTTATAAATAAAGATGAAAATATATTTTAAGGCTATCAAAGAAATTTCCAGTTTTGATACCATATTTCACGACAATGTAGGCTCTAATTTGATTGTTTAGAGCCTAGGCTCTACACAAACCGCACCCGTCCTATAAACACCATCCCTTTAGCAATGAAATTACGTGCGATCAGACTTTTGGCAAAGGGTTCAATATGCAAAGTGTAATTGTGAGGACTAAGGCATAACCATGGTCCTTAAGTTCATCACTGTGAATCTAAATGATGAAAGCTGATGAAGAGAAAGTGGCACCCCAGGACATAATGCCCCACATCCTCCCTTCCATGGCCATGATGATGAACCTAGGGATTACAGTTTCCCTGTAGTCTGAAGGATTATAGAACCCCTTCCAGAAAAATGTTTTAACTACTTTGCACACATGGTCCATCATTTAAATGGATAATGATGAACCTAGGGATTACAGTTTCCATGTAGTCTGTAGGATTATAGAACCCCTTCCAGAAAAATGTTTTAACTACGTTGCACACAAAACACATGGTATTTGGTTTCATGTGAGAGAGGGCAGCCTTTGAGTCACGCTGTAGAATTAGCTAACGGTTTTCATGCTAGCCGTTGCTTCTTGCCTGCTTAATTCTTACGATAAACAATGTAACATTTACAATTTTTTTTTTTTTCCTGTGATTTCTTTGGCCTCGAGCACCAACTACCATTATAGTTAGTTTGTATAGCACTTACCTTGGTTTAAATTCCTTGACTGAATTTTGTTGTAGTATTTCGTTTTCCATTTAGATGATTTACGTACTAATTTGCCTTTCCTTGACTGAATTTTGTTGTAGTATTTCCTTTTCCATTTAGATGATTTACGTGCTAATTTGCCTTTTAGCCTTCTCAGGGAAGGGACAAACTAGGTTTTGTATAACCGATCCCAAATAATTGGAAAAAAAGCTACGATGATGAGTCTTCTCAATAGCTTCTTCGAAACATAAATGCTTAGTGTTATAAGTTCACAAGAATGAGCTTAAACATTGAAATTTTGATGAATAATCCAAAAAACAATATTGAAAATTATCAATACTGATAAGGAAAGACACAGCATGGCAACCATGAATCAACTCCCATTTTCAGTTTTTTAGATGAATATATAGAAACAGACTATCACAACATTTTCAGTTTTTTAGAGGAATATATAGAAACAGACCTATCACAACATTTTCAGTTTTTTAGATGAATATATAGAAACAGACCTATCACAACATTTTCAGTTTTTTAGATGAATATATAGAAACAGACCTATCACAACATTTTCAGTTTTTTAGATGAATATATAGAAACAGACCTATCACAACATTTTCAGTTTTTTAGATGAATATATAGAAACAGACCTATCACAACGGAAAGGCTTCTCAATTCATGTTCAGCTTTGCCTCCTTGGATTTCAGGTGTAAAAGCAATAAACTCAAGTGGTGTTCTTGCAGATCATCAATAATGGAAAGTATCAAAAATAGCATTAGTGTTCAACCCTCAAAGCCACACATGTCGATACACACACTTTAATCATGAACTGGAAAGGACTTTCAACTGTTAATGATTCAACACGGCTCGGTTCAGGATCATTGTTAAACTCAAACATTCAGCTGTTTAAACTTACTGTCAAAATAGAAGAAGATTTCAATTGGATCAACACTCCACCACTAATAATATGTTCAGTAACAAGTTTTATCACCGCATGGTGGATGTTTGAAGCCCTCTCATAAGTAAGATAATTGAATAGAAAAATCGCATCACAAATTGAATAGAAAAATCGCATCACAAAAACAAAAATAAAAGAAAAAAGGAAAGAGGAGAAGTACTCAACAAATTCACAGGCGGTTGTCATCGATGAGCTTTACCCCATGATTCTTGAGAGCATTGATAAGAGACCAGATCTTTGTATGATTTTTGAAACCCTTATCGAGCTCCTTCTGAATATTCGAGTAAATTTCAGGGATTCCTTCCACTTTTGCTCTCATGGCCAAAACTTCGCCAACAATGGCGGCTGCCTTTGAGTTGCAGAAGCGACCACACTCAAAACCACTCTTCAAAGCCCTCTCAACCGAGGAAGCAGACGCTACAATTCGACCATTATTTCGATCCACCACATTTGCAGTGATGTATTTTAGGGAAAAATACATTCTAAGTACGTACCTCTTTGTGGGCACCATTGAAGTCGAAACCCTAAACCCCAAATTGAAGAGGCGCCATTAATTCTAAAATAAAAACCCTAAATCGTAGATCTCCGCTGCACTTTGATGATCTTCGATCTGGAGTTCCCAAAGAATAACTTGGGGAATGGGTGGAACATCCCTAAACCCTAATCCAGCGCCACTGCATCGGTCATTCATTTACTTTCTCAATAAAAGGTCACCTCTATATAGAACCGAGGCTCTAAACAATTAAATTAGGGCCTATTTCAAAAATTTCATAAGAAAAGGTTGTTTTGATGTTCAAATTATTTTATAATGCATTTTTTAACTATATATTTTCAAGTTTTCAGAGATATGTTGATCTACCTTATTTTTAAAGCTTTAAATTTTATAAATAAAAATAAAATATATTTTAAGGCTATCACATAGATTTTCAATATTGAAACCATATTTCTCGACACTATATAAAGATAGGCTCTTAGTTGATTGTTTAAAAACTTGGCTCTTTACAAATTAAGTCCCGATGATTAAGAAACACTTTATTTTCTCTAGGTTACGGCCTAGGATTCATGGAAGAGTGAAAAAGAACCCACGTAATTATTAGGAATGCGGCTTACTTGATGAGCCTTGAGATTTGATGAAAAAATAAAAGGATGAAGGGTGAGGTTTTGTACAAGGTGCACACCTAAGACGTACCTCTAAAATTTATTGGAATGTATATTGCTGAGAATTTATAATAGTTTAAAAATCGAAGTTCAACTTTAATTATAAAATTTAAAATTTATAAATGATAGCAAATCTATAAACACCTGCAAATATTGCATATAGATGGTCTTAATAGCTTATCCTTGTGTAATTCTTTCTTGGATCCTTTTGTTGGGTTCATGAAGTTATGTGAACTGCAATATATTAAATAAAAAGATGTGTTAAAATTCAAAAATAAAATAAAGGGTCTAGATACTTGTTATGAGATGCACTATTTTTATGACGTGAGATTCTTTGATCTCGAGATTGAGATGATCAATAAAAAGGTTTTCTAACTTTGGAATACTCATTTCTACTGGATTGGATTTTTTAGTAAAGCCAACTGGACTTAATATGTACAAAGAAAAGTATAGCCATATTTTAGACCCATTGGAAAAGGTCCTCGAGGACCTTGTAATGGCCAGAAATGTAATTTCATCAATGATTATAAAATTTGAAATGGTACAAATTTGGTAGCTCAGTAAATACTTAAAATAAACGGCTCCATATGTATTACAAAAATACACTACTTCTAAGCCTTGAAACCCTTTTTTTCTTTAAAATACTTAAAATGAACGGCTCAATATCCTTTTTCAATTAAGAAAAAATCATTTTTTGCCACAATGTTTTGAGTGGTAGTTTTATGGAATCAATCATATAAGCAGAAATAATTGAGAGAGAATCATGTAATACCCAAGAATCATGTAATACCCAACTCTTTTTTTTTTATTATTCTCTAGGACCCAACTTATTAAGAGAACCTGTTCTATATCCTCAATGCATACATGATTTTGTAATCAACATGGTCATTTTTCTTAATGTAACAGCTTTCTTTTGGAATCAGATCCATTAATCCTTCTTTCAACGCGATATGTGATTACAAATTATGGAGGTACACTCCACGTGCAATGGATAAAAGAAGGGCAAACAAGTACTTTGATTCTGTAGGCATCTGCTGTGTGTGTGAGAGAGAGAGCGAGGAGAGAGAAGTGTGTGGTGAGAATGCCTCTTTGATTGTTTATAGCGAAGAACAAATAAGTGATTTGAAGGTATGAGAAATGAGAAAAAGTCATTTACAAAGGGTTTTTTCTTTTTTTTTTTTCTTACGATGAGATGATCAATTAGAGAATTTTTCAACATTAAAACAATCTTTTCCGATGGATTTTTTATGTGCATCTTTAATTCTATATTTTAAGGTTGCAACTTTATATAAACTTTTTTCTTTATAAAAAGATAGCTTCTGCACATGGTGCAAAAATCTCGAGACACAGCATTCGTCTAAAGAGAAAACATGAACACGCAATGGAAAGTTCTTGGCCTAAAAGGTAAACCAATCACCACATCCTTCAATATTAGCCAAAATACAGAAAGTGGTCAGGGAACAATGGATCGACGAATAAGAAGTTAGAGAAGCAAGAAAGCACAAATCTCGAGCACAAAAGCCGAGAGGAGAATACCATGTCTGTTAAAGACTAAAAGGGCCTTTTGGTACATAAGAACTGGAGATTTTGCCCAATCCCCAAAAAGATGAGGAACTAAACCAATACTATTTGTTCATAAATGAAAGAGAATAAAAGAATGCAATCCTCGCCCCTGAGCTGTGACCTCAATGGAGGGTTAACAATTTGAATCCACGGAATAACTCGCGTGTCATTTAAATGTGTGGGGGCAAAGATTTCAGGAGAAGCAATCGTAATTTTCAGTGAGACCCATCTGACATTATATAAACATGTGCATGCATCACTGGCTCACATGAGAAGAAAGTGAGAGCTTTACGTGCCGAACTCCTGTATAATCCTCACTTCACCCATCTGCCTGCAAGGGCAAGTTCCTCTTCTCCTCTGACCTGTGATGGAATAGCTTTGCAATGCTCCTCCTTTCACAATCCTGACAAATAGAACACAAATTACATGAGATTTTTATTTCACTGTACAAGTACATGCATGCATGTGCATGCACACACGCGTGCATTTTTGCATGTGCATATGTTAATAAATACACGTCTTCGTGTATCAACCTACATATAGATAGTCATCTTGATGTGAAAACCAACCTTGAACATGTTAAAGTAGAATGGTTTCCCAGGGTTCATCCTTCTCAACTTCAAGGAAGTGTATGCAAAGCTGAGCTGATCACGGGGTGTGAACCTATCGACTTCATTGAACCATAGACATGAAAACAGATTTGACATAGGTGTATGCGCTCTTATGATGAAAGATCCCTCGGGGACATCTGTTAAGACAAAAATTTTCGAAAGAAATTAAAGGCCAAGCAAATATCAGAAGGCAAAGTATAGTATGATCCAAAGTATCATGGTAACAGTAAATGGTCATACGGGTCATCATCGTCCAATCAATGGCTTGGACAGTTATGCAGGGAGGATGAGAAATTATATATATGAAATGTTTAGTGGAGAACGCTCTCCCTCCATCCCAGTCCAACGATTGACAGGTTGGCAATTATTCTTATGGCCATGCTTTTACAATGATCACATTGATCATAATAAAGTTTCCAAATTAGAAAGTCAATATGGGAGTTCTTAAAGCCACACCAACCCCAAACCCCCAACCCAAAAAGAAAAAACACTCACACATGCATGCGCATGCGAACACACACAGAGACCCACAAAAAACCCAAACAAAAAAAATAGAGAAAAATGAAGAATCATACAGCTGGGTAAAAATTTATCAGGATCTGAAGCGTTAAATCTCTTTAACCCGTCATGCTGGTAGAAGGCAAACTGCTGATCAATGATGGTGTGGTTGAATTTATTTAATTTCTTGTTTTGCAACACCTCCTCCCACACGCAATGTCTATCATAGTGATTGGATATTGCATACTCATAGTTATGACGCCAGAGGAAATACTCCAAGATCAGGAGGGGATCTCTTTGAAGGCGCAGCTTGCTATCGAGCCAGATGGAGTACCTGAAAAAGCCATCAAGTTAGAATCCTCAAAAATGAAATATAACATTCCAAACATTTAAAAAAAAGCAAATTGGCTTATATTGATGATGGGGAAATTGAGAATTTTATTTGGCAAATGGAGAGAAGTGAAATTTATATACCTAGAAAGATATCTGTCCTCAAGACACAAACTAAGCTCTAATTAATATTGTAATTCTTATTGTCTGCTCACACAAACTTTCATTTGCCTCCATATTGTCACATATCTTTCTTCTTCTTCTTCTAATTCTTCTTCTTTTTTGTTCAAAGAATATATCATCACATAACTCCACTCAAAATTTTACAGGGTAGGCCACTGCGGATTAATCATTATCTGGTCTGCTTATCAGTTACTGGGAACTAATAATTCCTACTGACCAAAAAGGTTAGGAAAGACGTTGACAAGTGCCACAAAAATATCTGTAATAGAGAATTTCATGAATTGTAGAACTTAGGCACCAAAAGATCAAGTTACATCAATATATGTGCATTTACCAATGCATTTTCATCTTTTGTTACCTGGTTTGACGGCTAACAGTTATGCCGATTACAGCACAACTTCACAAGTTTGAATCCCACTACTGATCTACCCAAAACGAAGTATAGTTAATAAGGGATACAGAACATCATTTACTTTTTCTTTTACTGTAGAAGTGCCATACCTGGCTGCTGGGAAAAGTCGATGAGTAAGGAACTTTGGAATTTTCCCTACACGCCGCATGTCAGTGTAAGGTAGATTCCTCACAACCACAATCTTCCATAAACCAATATATCCCATGGTGTCAGGTTTTTGACCTTCTGAAGACAATGTTTGCAATGTATTCTCATCCACAAACATTACAAAACATACATTTTTTCTTGACAACCGTGAGACCTACAATGAGCAATAAGAAAAAAAATTTATCTGGCATGTTCAATTGTAATATGCATAGAATCTTCTTCTTTTTTTGTTTAAGTAAAAATTGCACATAATTTACTAATCCTCTACTGCCATTGACATGAAATAGTTCACAGAATTTCTACAAGTAAATATCATAAGAAACTTCACAGAGGGGTAGGAAAGAAGATAATCTCTCATGCTCCAAATATTATTTGCAAACCACCAGATGACTGCAATAAAATGACTATGATGCTTCTAAATATACTACAAGCAAGCATACTCACAGAGGGTACAAAACGAATATGTAATATTTATGGAAGTCTATGACATACATAAAAGCATGTAAAGAGGCACAGGTGGTTGTAGTGGGTAAGGGTGTAGCAAGCCATTCTAATTTTCCCAATATAGGTTTATCCATTGTTATACTTTGTATAACAATGATGTCATTTATGCTTTAGAAGAAACTCTTGGAAATCGTATTATCAAAATAGGAAAAGAGAAACTAACACTCTTATATACATGTACAGAGAACTGAAGTACACAAATTTTTTTGGGTGAATAGAAAAACTCCCTCAAATCTTGACAACAGCAAAAGAGCCTGTTCTCGGGACTCTGGTCTTGGAAAGGGGCTCCTTTGCCCCCCATTTAGAGAGCATGCAAGTATAACCCTTACAAAATGGCAGAAAAAAAGAGAGGTACTTGACTGGACTGGCATGGGAGAAGAGAAAGAAAGCTGGCAAGAGCAAACTAGAAAGCAGTGGAGTACATTTTCTATAACATTGACCTACGTGCCTCTGAGTAGGAACCTCTCAGGTGGTTAATTGTATGCTGCTCACCAAATTATATGTTGAAGCCTCTAACAAGCACATAGAACCTAGTTTGGGAAGTTTAAAGATTCAATTATTATGTTAGGTTTAAGAGAGTTTCATCATTTAATTGTTCATAGATAGGTCTAAAGAAGAGATCCAGTAGCTCACGTTTTCTAAAATTTTCTATAGTAAATCATCAAAGTTTATTAGATGACTATAACAAATCTATGAATGATTCAAATAGATTGATGAAAAAACTAACCCAATAGGTTAATGAAAAAACTAACCCAGAAAACACTTGCTTTTTATGACTCTTAATTTCATCATAACGAAATAAATGGATCACAACACAAAAAGACCAGAAAAAACCTTAGCTGCAGGGCAACCTAAGAACCCCTATTCTTCTCCAGATACACCCGTAGTTCTGTACACACTACATAATCTAGCATTGTTTCTCTCGCCCTTTTAACATGAATAGAGTCGACCATTGTTCAAAAAGGCGGACCGCCCAGCGCCTAGGCGGTCCAGAGGGCTTGGGAGCCTCACCCAGGCCTAGACGACCAAAAAAGGCAGCCTGCCCCTAGGCGGCCGCCACGGCGCTTGGGCACCCGCCTAGGTGGAAGCCCATCGCCCAGGGGCAGAAATGCACCTCTTAGAGGAGTAGTTTTGGGTTCTTTTAGAAAAATACGAGGGAAAACGGTGGGTTTTAGGTTCATTTCAAACCTGAACCCCCTTAGAGCCCATTTTGGTGAGAGACAAACCTCAAAAAACTAGATTTTTGTAATTTCCCTAGATCTTAGGAGTTTTGTCCACTGGCCCACCTAGGTTCTGCCCCCCCTCCCCCGGGCTGCCTAGGCACCACCCAGCGTTTTTTGGAACACTGGGGTCAACTGTATTAGTCAATGACCAACAAGAGCCATCTACCATTTTTCTGAAATATTTTTCTCACAAGATTGCTTCAAAATTTGTTCTACTAGGATTTCTAAAATATGTGGTTGCAGACTACCGTAAGTTTTGGGAATTTTCTGTCATTGTTTATTCGTGATATGTCCTTACCTAGATTTTGCCAAAGACTGAGGCCATTTTAAGTTGCCTCTCAGCCGTTTGAATTTAAGACCCAAGGGTTCATTATTCATTTTAGGGAGTTCTTTCACTCTCTTAGAACAGAACTTGGCATTAAAGCTTCATCAAGATAAAGCTTAACTCCGAAAATACTAAAATACCATGTGAAATGTACATGTCCAATATACAGTTTAAGCGCATGGCACTTGCAAAGTGATACCATTCATGATGTAAATATGCTTCTATATCTTCTGGCAACAGATTTAGTTCTTCCAATTTAAACTTCCACTTCAATCTCCACAAGGTTCTGTATCTCAGTCTTAACGCCACAATGTAGAGGATCCCAAATCAAGTGGGCTCCCACGTAATGAATCTAGACACCAATCCATTGTCAGACATGCATTACTAAATTTTTTATCTGTATGCCAGCAATAGCTACTGTGCTATTAGTTACAATATTTACTTTATTTTCAGCCGAAACATGTAGGTTCCAAGATGCTTTTAGTCGATTCACAAGCCTTTCTTGTCTTTCCAGGTAGCCCCAATCTGTCTATCCCAATTTGCCCAGGGCCACTTCAAGAAATCCATCTTGTAAGTTTTAACTGACAAATTGATGTAGACTCTTTATTAAAGTGAATTATATGACAGGTAATTTGGCCCTACTATCCACTCTTAATCAGGCCCTACTATTGAGCCTGCTGATTGTTTTGAATGGCCCATCCATAAGGAAGGAGAACTCTTCAAAAACTGCTCTCAACAAGTTTGAAAATCTCGAAGTCAAGAAACTTATCCATAGTATCTAAATTGTCCTATTTTGGTTACTTTCTATTTTTTATTTTTATTTTTTTAAAAAAAAATTCCTTAGCTACTACAGTCATATGATGTTACAAATTCCCTACATGCATCATTATGCATTTTGGATTTAATTATAGCACAAGTAATTAGATCACCCACCCATGAAACCTGTGCCTCTAACCATATGACCGTAACTGTAAAAAATCATAGGGAAAGGCATCACTTGGCTGATAGATGCAATAAAAAGGAAAATATCCAATAAGCAAGCCAACAGGGCGATTGTGCTTTTTCTAGCACAAATTCACGAACAAAAAGGAAGTTTAGCAAAAACAGACCAATACATTTCTAATGCTAATGACAATTGTAACATAAACAATCTATGTTATTATTAATTAAAGATTGCACTAATAAATCGACCAATATCATAAGAGCCAATTTGATATGAGAATATTTGAACATAACAGCAAGATCATATACGATATTATGAGTAAATAAATCAAGAGTTTCATTCTCCAATCCTATAACCAAGAATACCAAATAATGCGTTTCAATAATCATTCTTTAACCCAAATTTTTTACTGACATAAATGCTCAGAAATGAGAATAGAAATGGACAAAAAAAATGAACGAAAATAACACCAATGCGACAAAAAGTATTGCTACTCAAACCAAACATCATCCGGATATCACCCTACCATTTTGCCCGTAGGTGTTCTCAAGTTATCAGAGTTCCCAAAAATGCATGAAGACACAGCTATGTGGCATCTTTGCATGTACTTCATGTCATCTTCTGCCAAGTCAAAACCAGTACTTGGGTATCCTTTAGGCGCTTTGACAAAGCCGCAGTTAATCCTCTGGTCACGAGCATAAAATGTCTCCTCCCTTTCTCGTAGTGTCTGATGACCAGCAAACCTAGGTTCCCATTGCTCTACCCCACTCGGCCTCTCCTCTACTTCTGTGTATTGCAGGGAGAACCTTGAAAATTTTTTGCTCTGCAAGGGCTCCACAAGTTGTGCAGTAGAGTTTAAGAGCTTCATGTCACAGGAAGCACCTGAACAAACATATATAGCAAATATTTGAAGCTTTAGAATGGAAGAAAACAAGCAACACCTATCAAGCATACACATAGAGGTTTATTAATGTGGCAATACCAAATCTTCATCGAATCCCAATGCAAGTCGAAATGATTCCACTATCCATGGATAAGTTTCATGATAAAACACCACGTAGAGGAATCAGTATATTTTAAGAATACACATTACACTCAAACATGTACTCCTGAATATGTGGCAGAAAAACAAAATAAAAGACTAAATTTTAAGAATTTTGGCAAAAGAAAGGACAATAGAAAGGCATGAGGTCTTTGCTAGTTGCATGCCCACAAGATACTCGAATTTGAGTAAGAGCGTCAAAGGAGATCCTATATATATCACTTTATACAACCGTCATGATCATTTGAGCCTTATCCCAACTATTTGGGGTTGGCTGCACGAATTTTGTTCCACTTATCTACTCTATCAAGGGCCATACCCTTAGTCAGACAATAGGTCACCATATCTCTTCTTACTACTTCCATCCATGTCCTTTTGGGCCTTCCCCTTGTCATTTTAGAGTCTTCCACTTGAACCAAATTGCCCCTTCTAACCCGCGTTGAATTAAGTTTACACTGCACATGGCCAAACCACCTAAGTATATTTTCCCTCGTATTATTGCTTATTGGAGCACCCCTAGTTCCCTCAGATGCAACCATTTTGAACTCTATCCGTTCTTGTCTTGCCACTCATCCATCTCAACATCCTCCTCTTAGCTACACTCATCCCATGGATATGTGGTTTCTTAACTACCCAACATTCCATCCCATAAGCCATACCTGGTCTTAGAACTATCCTATAGAACTTCCCCTTCAGTTTCATTGGTAATGCGGCGATCACTTATAGATGCACAACTCTACTTCGCCTACCTAGCTCTAATTCTATGTGTGACATCTTCAATCCCTCCATTCTCCTAGTTTATTGACCTAAGATAACGAAAATAATATCTTTTAGGTATTACTTAACCACATCAATCTTAACTACTTCATCATTTCTATCACGATTATTACTAAACTTGCATTCCATATATTATGTTTTAGCCCAGCTAATTTTAAAACCTTTAAATTCTAGAGCATCCCTCCAAAGTTCTAACTTTGAGTTAAACCCGCCCCTTGTCTCATCGAACGAAACTATGTCATCCTCAAACAACATACACTATGGTACTTTATCCTGCAGATGCCTAATTAACTCGTACATAGCCAAACAAAGAGGTAAGGGTTCAACGCTAACCCTTGATGTAAGCCCACTGTCACTGAAAATTCACTTGTCTCTCAACTAGTTGTCCTCACACTAGTTAACGCTCTGTCATACATATCTCTCCCCATGTCAATATATCCTCTAGAGACTTCTTTCTTTTCCAACACCGACCAAATTAACTCTCTAGCAATGTTTGCCAAATTCACTTCTCTTCGGCCGATGTTTTTGGATTTTCAGCCTAAATTGAAGCAAAGTGAAGCCCAATGCAACTGCTTCAGTCAGCTTCGGGCTTTTTTGGACCCCTTCCATCCAATTCGGCCAAAGCTTTGGCCTATTTGGCCTAAGCAAAGAGTAGCGGATTTCAGCCCAAGCCTATGCTGAAATGAAATGTCAAAAATTTCATGATATTTCATCAAAACATGGGACACAAACCGTGTTCATAAAGCTCCCCATGACATATGCCGCTATGGAGTATTGATGAGTGTGTTGGCAAAGGCACGGACCACTAGGCATAAAATAGTCAGGGCCAACTTGCAGCCACCACTTTCGCCACCAATGATACCCCACAGCCCCACCCATTCAAACTCTTATCTCTCTCTCTATATCTCCTTATTCCCCCAACCTCTCCCCATTTTCTCTCTCTACTAGCCTTACCTTTTTGAACTCTCTCTACATCTTTATCTTTTCTATACTAGCCTTTCCTCTCAAAGTACACACCCAACAATACAAAGAAATGTCCTTTATTTATTTTCATTATTTTAATTTTTTTTTTTATATAAGTAGATACTTTATTTATATTGCATTTTGAAAAAAGTCCAACGTCTTCCCCCGAATCGGCCAAAGCACCAAATTGCTTCGTTTTTCTTGCGAAACCAAAGAAGATTCCAAAGTGAATTTAACAACACTGCTCTCTACGTACCTTATCATATGTTTTATCTACATCATAGAGACATTTAGAGGTCTTTTCCTTCTCCCTATGCTTCTCAATAAGTTGCCTAAGTAGGAAAATAGTCTCAATGGTTGACCTCCCTAGCATAAAACCGAATTGATTTTCTAAAACACTTGTTTCATGTCTTAGTCATTGCTCAATCACTCTCTCCCACAGCTTACATAGTGTGGCACACAAGTTTCATCCCTCGATATGATTTGCATAAACATCCAGTAGTTATTTATTAAGTTCCAACAAAGAAACAATCCAAAATTTCCATGTGCATCAAGCAACTATGTATGTGTTATTCATTCACATGGGTTGGAAGGGAATTTATTCGCCCATTGCAATTGCATGTGGCTGGATTGTGTGGTCAAGAGTGATGAACTTCTTCAACATAAATAGAGTAAATATTGTATATCCTTAGTTTGTTATTGCAGGTTCACAAAAGCGGGGTAACATTATGAGGATCCATCTCTTTATCAAAATGGCATGTTTAAAAGAAATAAATAATTAAATCTTTTGGGAGAGCTAGAGAACCTTAAGAGACCTATCAGAACACTTAAGCACAACTTTATTTCATGGGCAAGACAGAGAGCAAAGATGGATTTAATGCAAAGAAGGTAAACCTAAGGGCACACCAATGCTTGCCACCCTAAACCAGTGAGTGATGGCTCAACAGCACGTGGAATGAGTGCCCCCTTCTATGGAGTGGTCAAGGTAAATCCTAATGATGTTGCAAAAAATCAGAACCAACAAGTCTTCCGGATGACATACGGAACAAAAACCGAGCAACTCAGATGTGGTAAACAAGAGTTATCATAGTACATGTGGACTGTAGCAAATGAGGTTCTGGCCAGTGGGCAGATTCTAACTAGAGATATTGAGAGGCTAGAATTTTTAAGGGCCAGACACTAAGCGTTATAGATAGCTAGAAGAGTAATCTTCAAAAGTAACAGGCGTTTTTTAAGAAATTAAAGGATGGTAGTCGATCTTATTAAATTTTAAATTCATCTATAATCCAATGGAAATGAACATGGTTATGTATAGAATTGTATGGGTTTCATTAGAAAACAACCATGGGATTTCAGCCACTCTTAGTGTCTTGTGCCCATAAATTGCCACAACAATAAAGAAGGGATTACTGAAAGAAAATTATCACTAATGAAAAATTAAAAACAGTCATATGACTATAGATGCTCATATCAGAATGCATAGTAAAAGTGCAACATCTATGATTCATGATAACTCATGATACACAAGAACGAAGAGTGGAAATGTGTTAATCAACAACTTAGGATGCATATCTAAATTAGTTACGACATCTAAATTTTTCAACATGAATTACAATAAGGTGACTGCTTAAAAGGCGTGAGGTGGCACCTAGGCAGCCAGAGGTTCCTGGCCACCTAGGCAGGTGCCTCAAGTTTATGATGGCCCCTAGAACAAAATCATGAAAACAGAGGGTTTTTGGAAAAACTCTGTCTTTCAAACAAAAACATGAATCCATATATTAATTGCTAGTTTTGTGTTGAAAAATGTCACTGTTTGTGTCAGAAAGGTTAAAAGGGTGCATGATTATTTGTCAAACTGCAGTGGTACAGTGTAAGAGGCAGACTAAATGACCATAAAGAAAACTTAATAGCATTAACATCCATGTACAATGACACACCATTAGGGATTCAAAATACCACAATGGTAATGCCTATGATTGATGACTCCATGTCCACAAATGCATGTACTAATGCACCAAATTACATAAAAGAATTGAAAGCTTGAGTTTATTTCAGGGTTTTATGTCCCAAAAATAGGAACTCAGAGAGGTTTGGGGATTAGAACATGTCCGCTAGCATTTTCCCCTCCTTAGTGGGGGAACATGAAAATTTTAAAATTCACCTGAGAGCATTTTCTGCAGGGAGAATTTGGTAAGAGGCCGCTCGAGGCAGCCCACACTGGGACAAATGCATTTTCATGAAACATCCCTGGGATGGCTCTGTATCAATCCTAAAACTGATCTGCTTGTCATCTGGGAGATGAAAGCACCAAACGAGTTCGAGAAGAGTATGTATTGGATAAATATAATAGACCCTGACATCAGGGGAAAAACAAAATGTAAACAAGTGTTGGGTCTAGAATCATGCATTGGTGGAACAAATTACACATGATATACATAGAAACCCTAAGTCCTGAAACCCCAATGTAGGAAATTAAGGCTATAACAGTTAGGGAACCTTGATCATTCCAGTAATTGAAAGCTCAGTAACCAAAATGTATTATAATTTGATTATATATATGGGGTAACACCTCAAAGTAATTAGATATCCAAATATATAGCATAAGCAACATAAGGGGAATCTCGATTACAATAAAAAACCCAACAACCCATGGAGAATGGCATGATAAGCTAAAAGAGTGAAAGAAACTGCAGGTGTGAATGCTTCCGCAAATCACACTTTGAAATCTATATATTCGACACTAAATACATAGACATTTCTCATCACACAAGTGACAGAAAAATCAAGAAGATATTCCTCTTCCTCCAAGGAGATGATTCCTTCACACAGGCAAATCAGGTTATATGTTCTATACAGCAATTGAAAGTCTATCAACAAATTTTGATGTGCATAGACCTCCAGAAAAATTTTAGAATTAACAAAAAAATCGTATACACTGCTCATGGGCTAAAGTGATAATGAATATTTTCAATGACATATTCTTTTCCTTTCCACGATTTTAAGTACGAAATGAAGGTAGAAAAAAGTAGCCCTTCGAAAAAAAAAAAAGGTAAGTCAGTGGGGATTTGGGCCATTATCCTTTGGTGAGAATGGAGTTATAGACTTCATCATAGGGTTCGTTGGTACTACCGCCAAGGCCCCAGCCCATTCTCAAAGGGTAAGTCAATGGGGATTTGGGCCTCTACCCTTTGGTGAGAATGGAGTCAAAAACTTCATCATAGGGCTCGTTGGAACTTTGACAGAAAAAAAAAAAGCATAGGGAAAGCACGTCTTTTAAATGAATAGAAGGGAAACAGGTAAAACAACAAAAATTCATTCCACTTTCAATGTATATTAGGGTCAAGTTCACAAGGGGTCTAAATTTATATCAAAGGGGCGCATGAGGTGGATATAATTTTCCAGCACGACGAGCAACATGAGTGCATGCAAATGCAGTTATACACATACACTTTGAATTCAACATAGCTGAAAGTAACTCCTCTATTGCGGACATTTCCCTAAGCTAGATTGCTTGAAATTTCCATTCCAACTGTTGGGATCTGATCTTGCAGTATTGAGGTCTGTTTCAAACATGAACTGAAGATTTGAACTCCCATCAAACTAAACCAAAAAACAAAATCTGAAGTTCTTCCACCTCAAAACAAACATATTGATCTTGCAACATGTTACACTCATGAACATGTTTATTTTTATTTTGAATCTTACTAAATATTAATATATAACAGCCAATGCCTGTAACTAAGTACATAAAGCATGCATCTCTATGGCCAACACATCATGGACTTGACACCTTACAGGAATGGAGAGCCAGTATACAGCCCAGTAAAGTTCAAAATGAATAGTTACTGCAGTACACATGGCTTAAAAGACCTAGAATATTAAGAACTTGTGACTAAGAATGAATTTGGATCATGGAATCAGGCAACCTGAATATTAGATATCAGAATGGCACCAATCGGCAAGTAAACCAAGTAAACTTTGCCCACATAACTTTCAAACGGCCAACTTACAGTTCAATGTAAAAAGAAGAAGTTATAGCTTAGAAGCTACCTGCAAATTTATGACGCTTCCCTTTCTTTTTTGAAAATGATTTCTTCACAGAGCCAGTCATTTGGGAAGACCCACCTTCTACAAAACCCACATGATCTCCTTCCATTTTACCAGCACTGAAACCCTCCCCAACTATAGAGGAATCATTCTCCAAATGCTTGTCCAATTCTGGGTTGCTTCCTTCTCCACCGTTCATACCATCAGAGCCTTGACGATCACCTGAAATAGTATTAGAGGAACTTGGGTGATCATCCTCCCTCCTATCTTTGACATCAGTATCTTCATGATGAGTATCCTGTGCATCGAACCCATCATCATATTCATCAATCAAATCTTCTTCTTCACTAAGGTTTCCCACCCCGTTACTCTCTCCCCCATGCAAAGATGCCTCATACTCAGCTCGGTATTGGTCCAATTCATGACGCCCAGCTTCATTATACAGCCCCATACTTTTAGGTTTCATCTGCTGCTTTTCTATGGAGTTTTCATGCATATCCTTTGAAGATTTTTTCCCTTCTCCGTTGTTATTAGCATCAGCATTAGAGAGGTCAGCAGTGTCTTCATTGTATGCATCATCCCTTCTCCTGTCATCACGGTCCCAATCCCTGGAGTCTCGCTCAAGGCTGCTAACAAAACCGTGACCAAATTTGAGGACTTTAGATCCAGAGGTCCCATTAGAGGAATCTTCCTTATAATCCTTCATTTTCTCATTTTTCCCTGCAAATTCCATTTGTTCAAAATGCTATTGATAATTTTTTCAAGAACAAAAGGGGATTTACAAGCCAAAGTTGAAAGTAAATTGGGAATCCAAGTGGGTGAATCAGAAAGTTATAATTCTGCCTGGCTGATTTAAGAAACGCTTGCTACATCAGAGCAGATGATAAGAAATGAGAACAGGGTTTTGCTTATTATGATAAAAGGCATGTATTAGGCTACATTTTTTCTCCATGTACTTATGAGCATTCAATCATATTTATTGGCTTCATCTCCCGCCGAGATCTAACTCTTACATTGCTAATGAAATTATGCATTGTCTCAGTTAAATCAAAATTACTGTATTTATCAGCAATTTAGGGGCTTCTAAATTCCAGGTCTCTACACACAAGGAAAAAAAAAAAAAAACTTCCATGGACATTGGGTCTATCCACCTTCAACATTTCTAGTACAAAAAAAAAGTCTTCTAGATTTTATGAAATTCATGGTTAACAAACCCACAATGTATCATTCAACAAAATATAAAAAAATGCACAAAATTCACTGAAACAATTACAAATAACATTGATAAATTTTAACCCAGTAAACTCGTGGCCAAAGAACGACAACATAACCCACACAACAACATTCATAGATCCCCATTTATGTCAGAGACAACCAACCTAAGAAAATAGAAAGAAATGCATAAAAACCCAATGGATCCGAAAACAAAAGAACACACTGAACAGCACAATCACGTAGCTACATCAAAAGAAACAGAAGGTAAAAAAAAAAAAATAGAGAGAGAGAGAGAGAGAGAGAGAGAAGAGGAACTAAATTCAATTAAAAATAGTGGGTATAAAAGGGGTGGACCATTACCACGAGAAACGTAACCAAAGGCCAAAAACGTGAGCAGCAAAACAACCGTGAAAATGGCTATAACTCCACCGATCGATAGCTTCTTCCCCTTTTCATGTCTCCCAAACCTCCTCCCCCTCTTCCCATAAACCCTTAGGACACCTCTCTCTGTCCCTCCATGCCTGAACAGAGCCATTTCCACATCTCTCTCTCTCTCTGTCCCCCTCTCTCTCTCTCTCTAAAATTGATCGATTCTTTATTTATAGTTGCCCATGTTTATTTATTTAAAATAATCGCTCTTGATCCCCACACGCTCAGTCCTTTAAGCAGAAGATGAAGTTTATAGAGCTCTGAAGTGGGAGACAGAGTTTTGCAGAGAAAAAGTAGAGAGGGAGTTTTGAAGAATTGAAACATTTAAGTGTGTAATTGATTACTGTATAGTTGTTATCCATTCATGTACATGTGGATTCATGGTTATTTATTTGCTAAAATGCCCATGGATTTAATTGGGGAATTTTGGAGGGGAAGATTGCCATTGACTATGTTTATTTTTGTAGTGAGCAATTAATAAGGATTTAAATCAGGTTATGCCACGTGGGGAACAATGTGTTTTTTTGGGTAATTATGGAACAAAGTTATTGTCAAATGAGATCCACACAACATGAAATTGATGCTATGCATTAAATTTATTGAGTGTTTTACGGAGGAGAAAGGAAGCTTCCCTTCCATGTGGACGTTTTGGAGCTCGGCTAACAATGTAGCTTAAAGCCCCGGCTGATTTGAAGATTTCCTATTTCCTCAGGTGTGTACTATTCATTTGCTCCCTGAACTAAAACACATGCATGGGATACTTTTTATCTCTCGCATTTTTGGGATGGAATATCTACCACCCGTAGGATAATC